CAAGTGCCTTAGCCACTATGCTACCAGAGCTCCCAATTTCTTCATATCCCCATCAGCATTTGTTATTTTCTGTCTTGTTGAACCATGCCATCAGTACTGGGGTGAGATGGTATCACATTGTTGTTTTGATATGCTTCTCTCTGATGGCCAATGATTGTAAGCATCTCTATATATCACAGGGTAACCTCAAAGAAAAATGATAAAGTTTCACATCAAAATAAAAGAGAGGACCAGCACAAATATTTAGCAAATACTAAAACAGTAGCAACGAAGGAAGCGATAATGCAATTCATAAACAAAACAAGCTCAGCATAGAAAATCATATGGAACAAAGAAATTGACACCATGAAAAGCACATAACAAAAATGACAACAAATTCATATTTGCCAATAATTACATATCTGGAAAGGAAATTATCTCTAAGATTTATAGAAAACTCCAACGCCTCAACACCAAAGGAATTAACGATCCAATTGAGCACTTCTTCAGGAATGTGTTTTGGGTCTGTATCCTGGTCCCTTGTTTCTCCTGCTTTATCTTGCGTCCTTGTGTGCACTGTGATGCTGTTGTCTCCGAGGCATTATGAGGTTTTTGTGTTTATATTTAATTGGTGATTGTATGTTGGAGTGACTTGCTACGATTTTCATTTTCTTTGTTTTGTTTGTATGTTTTCTACATAAGCAGGGTACTGTGCTGTGTTCCTCTATCCGCTAGTTGCCTGCACTTATACACTCACCACCTGTCTCCTTTCCGTTGTCAGCCTCCTGTATGTCCCTGCCATCCTTGGGAAACAGAGCCTATGCTTAGGTCCCTGGAGTCCGAATGAGAATGCTGTCACTTTAAAATCCAAAATGGCCACTACTTGTAAAGATTCAAAGTGGCTGCACCCTCCAGGCAATGGAAAGTCCACAGCTATGTTGTCTTCCTCCTTGCTAGTCATAAGCCACCATCGCAGTTGACTGCAGCCCTTGGCAACCAGGGCTGATCTTTAGGTCAATTCTTAGGTCCCAACATCACTTGCAAATATTCAGGCTGTTGGTCCTCTCAGAGTAGCTGACAATCCACTGCTCCAACCATATCCATACTCACTGTTTTGTTCAGGTTTTTCCACTAATTGGTGCCTAACCCATTCTGTATGCTTCCTTCCAAAACTCAGGGTTCCAGGATTATCTTTTGTATCTCTGTCAATTGGTTTCTCTTTTCAAGGCTGTAATTCTTTATGCAAGCAGCTCGTGGGTTTGAACTGCAAACCTTTTGGTTAGCAGTTGAGTGCTTAATCACTCTGCCACCAGGCTCCCCTCTGTTAATAAACCAAAAAACACTGCCATCAAGTTGATTCCAACTCATAGCGACCACTTTGGGTTTCCGAGGCTGTGAATCTTTACGGAAGTAGATTGCCCAGTCTTCCTTCTGCAGAGTAGCTGGTGGGTTTGAAATGCCAACATTCTGGTTAGCAGTCAAATGCTGTAGGCACTATGCCACCAGAGAATAGTACCCTTAAAAGGCAATTTTTTTTCCAAAATATCTCATTTTCCATTGCCTATGCAGCAAATCTAGGATTTTTGCTGTTAAATAGTATTAAGGTAAAAGGAATATAAACTGGTTGAACAATTTATATTAAATGGCTCATTTAGAAATTTTTGGGTAATACTGTAATCTCAAAATAATTCATAGCTCAGAATTTTTCATAAGGCTCTTCTTCATGTTGTTTTTGAAAGTTAGGCCATATAATTTACACATTTGTCATTAATCACAAATTAACACAGCACAGTACCCTGCTTATCTTTTACAGCAATAATTTTTTTAAGATGCTCAACTTTTATGTTCATGATTTTCAAAGTATAAACTGAATTGCTATGTCATCCAAATAGTGGATGTAACATTAATATATCAAATGTCTACACAAAAATGTTAAAGTAAACTAAAAAACTCAACTGCTGTCCAGTCGGATCGGACTCATAGTGACCCCTCCTTGGGTTTCCAAGGCAGTATCTCTACGGAAGTAGATTGCCCAACCTTCCTTCTGAGGAGTGGCTGGTGGGTTTGAACCACCAGCCTTTTGGTTAGCAGTCAAATGCCTTAGGCACTACGCCACCAGAACTCCTCAAAAATGTAAAGTACTTTACAAAATAAGTATTATTGAAAAAAGGTAATAAATATGTCACTTTTACTCATTATCCTGGCACTGACAATTATGTAGACTATTTTTGAAGCAGAAAACAGACACTAATTATGACTTGTGATGATGAAGTTTACTAAGAAAAAAAAACTTGTTACCTGTCTACATACTTACTACTCAGTTAACACAGCCTTAAAAAAAAAAAATAATAAGGCTAGTATTTTTAACCTATCTTAAACAGTGTTGCATGTTCCACATGGGAGATTATTGATTCATATAGATGTATTATAATAAATGGATATTCCTCTCTCAAAAAAATTATCAATTCACCACATTTTTAAATGAAGTGCAATGTTCAAAATCCTACATAAAAATGTCCAGAATAAGCAAATCCATTGTTCTGGTTACCCAGTGCCACTCTGACAGGAACATACCACAATGGCATGGCTGAACAAACAGGAGTTTATTCTCTTACAGTTTGGGAGGCTAGAAGTCTGAGTTCTAAGTGCCAGGGGCTGTGTGAAAGCCCCTTGACCATGGGCTTCAGCTCTGCCTCTTGCTCCTGGCCCACTGACGCTAGAGGTGTCTCTTCACTCAGGCACCTTCTGGCTGCTGAGGCTAACAAGCCCAAGGTCAACAAAAAAAAATGGCACAGTCCCGATGTTACCAAACCACATGGCAGGCCACTAACTTAAGTCCATATAAGTCACCAGGTTGGCAGAGCATGGCAGGCTGCTGAACAACGACTCAGTTACATGCAGGGTTCAAGCATGCTATAAGCTAGAGACTATCCCCAAGGCTTTTCCTTATATACAGGAAGCAGACCACATCCCCAAAGCAGCTACTCAGCTGCTTGTGGTAGATCCCACCATGGAGTTGATTGCTTAGTCTCATCATGGGGAATAACTACCACCAACCAGCTGCCCAGCCACTCAACCAGGCCCAGCCAAGTTGACATACAAATTTAACTACCACATCCAAAAAGACAGAAAGTATGGAATACTTTTGAGTGTAGGGCCAGGGGTGGGATTTGGACGGAAATGAGGGGTGGTAGCTATTAGGTACCGGGTTTCTCCTCTTTGGGGTGATGAAAATATTTCTGAGATAGATTGTGGTTAGGTTGCACAACTCATTAACATATTGAAAATTGTTGAATGGTCCATTTTAATTGAGTGAATGTTATGGTATCTGAATGATATCTCAATAAGTTTGTTACATATATATTAAAAAAACTACATTAAGTATTAATATACCCATCATTAGGCTTTCTCCAATTCTTTCTTTAAAAAAAATTTTAGAGCTCAAAACTATTGTAAACCCGTAAGAACACAAAGAAAATTGAAATAGAAACACTGCTTCCCACATTTTATAAACAACCATTACTTAACATGTTAAAAACAAGGAATGAATAAAACTGAGCAGTCTATTTTCAGTTAAAATATATTTAATATTATCAGATGAAAACATTGATAGTGACAGCTTTACATGGCTCATTCTATAGTAGTGCTAAGGGAAAAACATTACTAGGAAAGAAACGAGTAGTTGGGTTTGTAAAAGATTTATTGAACACATGAAAGCAACCAAGATGAGATCTGACATATATCTAAAATTGCAATTTTTACAAAACTTTTAGAGATCACTGGTTTGAAAATATATATATATATACACACACACACACACACATGCTGTGTTCTGCTAAGAGAAAAAAAGAAAACAAAATCATGTATCTTTTTGATCCTTAAGAAGTTCAAAGTTAACACTGACATTATGGTACCAACTATCAGTGCTATTCTAGCAATCGAGAAAATTATTGTAAATAGCTTTACCTTTTGCTAGTTAATAATTCTTATTAGGATTTGCTTTTATTTAACAGTAAGGACTGAAGAGGCAAAATCTTTTATTTTAAACACCGAAAAGTGAAAATATTTTCATGTTTTTAAAAGTGAAGTAAGTTAATTGGATGGATGCTGACCTAGAGATTTTGTGTTAAAAAGACAGGATATATTTAATGATTGAATGTCTTTCATGAGAAGTTGCTACATTTTTAATGCCAAAAATCTGTTTATGAGGTTTTGTGAGTGTGTGTGTGTGCCTGGGCACACTCTGGGCTTACTTAAAAACTGGAATTCATTTGGCACTAAACGAAGTATATGAGGACAAGCAAAAATGACATGAGACTAAGCTGTTCCACCAGAGTTGTCCTTTTGATTTGCAATTTGTACTATCCCTTCGTTCTTGACTGAGCTGAAATAACAGATCAAACTACACATTTCTATGATGTACAAAAATAGAATCTAGAGCTAAGATGAGGCTGCTTCACCGATAAGCCAATCTCCCACTCTGCCGTAATCATAGTTACAAATGTGAAAGTCATTCAAGAATTCATATTTTCACCAAATGCTGATAATTTCTCAAGTTCTTTTGCTAAGTATGTTCCTGGCTACCTGGCCAGCTACAGTGTTTTCTATTTAAGTAAGGAAATCCATATAAAACAAACATTTATTTTACAGGGAGCTAATTTTACTTAAAACTTTCTTTAAAATAAAAAGCTAAACTCCAAACCAAAACTATGTAACCAAAATTTTTAAACAAAGCACTGGTGGCCACATTTTTGAGTCTCTGATGAGTCTTGAAGTTCATTCATTTTTCATGTTTCGAGGGTCTCTTCATTTGCTCCACAAGTATCAACAACACAAATTAAACAACTTGTTACTGGAAAAGCACGGACTTTGGAGTTGGCGACCCATTTGTCTGTTTCAGTATTATACTCAAGAATGTGTCCTAAACGACCCACACCTTGAAAACCAGCCAAGACATAAACTATAGAGCCAACTGCTGCGCATTTCACTGTTACACCCTTCCACGGCATTGGTGAGACCATTTTCCATTCGTTTAATTTAATATCGTAATACTCCACATTGTCCAGACCACCTTCAAAAGAATAACACAACATGAACAAAAAGGAAAATTATAAGGACAATTCTATGAAGATCTCTCAAAGGAATATATTTTGTACTTACCCAGCATTTTATTTGAAAATTTAAAATACACAGTTGCAAAAATTTTACAATGAATATCCACCTACCTACCACCTAAATTCTACCACTGACATTTTATTATTCTTCAGTACAACAGAAATTTGTTTTTTTTTGTTTTAGAATCATAAATATTGATATTTACTCTAAAAAATGAAAAATGTAAAATCAAAAAGTAAACCAATCAGTGGATTTTTCTGCTGACTTTTACCATAATTATTCAAATGTCTTTATTTTCTCCTACCATTTATCTTTCAGTAGTTTCTGGCAAACAGCAATGTATGTGGACAATAGAAGTGAAAGAAGTTATTTCTTTGCTATACTTAAGTAATGCTTAAAAAAGCACTGGGTAAAATGAAGTTTGTGGACTATCTCTGGATTCATTCTAGGTTCCTCGTTATTTAAGACAATTTAAGATTTTTCAGCATATCATTAAGGCAATAAAGAGGTCAAGTTTACTCATTTTAAAAACGGAAATACTGATGTTTTAATGCAATGTTAAAAATGTTTAGGATTCAACCATTCAGTGCCTGGATACAATTTCTAAAATCTGTATTTTAAAAAACTGTAAAGGTGTAAATCCAATTGTTTCATTGCTTAATAGTTCTTAAGCTGTTGTAGTACCACTATCCGTGGGAGGGCCATCTGAGATTGTCACACTGCCTGACATTTCATGGGCAGGGATGTTAAATGTCCTGCAACATTTCATAAATTATCTTAGTTTTTGGAAAGAATAAAAATAGGCATAATGATAAATGTGGTAAATGCTTGTCTCTAGATTTTAATAAACGCTTTAATGATCTGAGATAAGGAAATTATCAGCTGACTCACTGGGAAAGTTGAACAGTGAATTAACATCACATACCTAAACCATTCTGACCTCCCACAGCAAATATCTTGTCCTTTACAAATACCAATCCATGATTCTTCCTAGCCTCAATCATTGGACACAGTTCAGTCCACCTGAAAAATAAAGTATTTTAGTGTGCTTGTTCACAGGAAGTAAAAGGACTCTTACACTAGTGTATTAGAAAGGTCTGTTATCCCAGTTAAGTACTCATTTACCATTCATATGTGTAAACACACACAAACACATGCACAGAAAAATACCAGAATGCTAGAAAACAGTAGTTTAACAGTGATTATTTATAGATGGGGTATCAATACGGATTTCATTCCTTTCAATTCAGGATATGAAGGTTTATGAGAAACACAGGCTATCTAGAGACAATTAACACATCTTAGGAAGAAATCTCTATCCTGTGGTTCACAATAACTTGTAAAATAGGAACAAAAAAACAAAAAAGAGGACGATACTTAGAAGATATAACATTTATTCTGCTACAGGTATTTTAATTAGTGTTTACGTATAAGTTAATAAAACACAAACTTGTCATAGGCCTCCAGCAATCAGCAAATTAGTATTATCTATTACTATTCACACGTCCATTCTCAAATCTACTGTCTATAATTCTGCCAAGTTTAACTACCGTATTTTTATGCAAATAACGCGATTACACAATTTTTGCATACTGCACAACCCCCATGTCTTATTTTCGTAAATGCACTTTACCAATAAATATTTTTTCCACATTGATGACTTCAATTTCAAATTTTTTTTTCTGTACAATGGATTTAATGTTAAGTCTTCACCTCGGTGCCTGTGGACATGAAGGTTTGGTTCCAAGCAGCAGACCCCTCACCAGATTACCCTCAAGTTTCTAAAGCAGTCCCTCTCCTGGCAGGACTCTTTTCCTGGTCTGCCAACTGCTTTCTCAATTCAGGAAGAGATCACTTTTTCTGCCCTGGGAATAGCCTTCGCCAGGGTGGCCAGCCCCACCCAGGAGTTGCTCAGGCCAGTGCATCCCAGGCTAGAGAGGCCATTCAGGTGGGAGAGGCCAGCACACTACAGCAGTGCACATTCTGCCCCACCATCTGGCTGGCCAACCACTGTTCTGAATCTCCTGGCTATGTGGATTCCATGACACAAGGGGTCACTTGTCCCATGCTCAGGCAATTTGGGTACAACTGGCCACCCAGGGACAAAGCAGTGCACACCCATACCTGCACCATCCTGCCACCTGGCTTCACATGGGGTTGGCAGTGCAGGATCCAGGGACACAAGGGCAATGGCTTCTACCTACCGTGGCACCAGCCCATACTCAGGCTGTGGCAGCTCCACACAGCCCTCTGCCCGACCCTCCACCCATCTCCAGTGTGACGTACCTGGGTGCAGATCGGCTACAAGGTACTCCAGCGCTCTCAGGCCCGGCCACGAACTGCCCCAAAGCAAACGTATAGTTTCAATTGTTTATTTTCTGATTACGGAGGTACTACCAAACTTGAACCATGACTTCTTGACCATGGTTTATACCTTTATTATGCAAATGTGATCAGACTATTGAATGAGGGTGAGTGAGGCCAAAATTCACTTCTGGAAATGTCATGTGACATATGCAGTGTATGAATGGGTAAGCTACCCTGGAACTTTTTAACATAATTTCATCATTTCTGCCCATTATGTGTGTGCATGTGTTACTTCCATGGGCGCGTTATTTGCAGAAAAAATCACGGTATTTATTGGCATGTTGTATTTACAGCCATTATCATAATGAAATTGAGAATATAAATGTGGACACAACTGCTGAAAGATGCTAATTCACAGATGGCAGCTTCATATACACATACAAACAATTGTGTTTAGCTACTTTTTTGTATGAGATTCAATGCCTTCCTCTGCATACACTCCAGTACACCAACTGGCATTTGTAACTGTGAAAGTGGTTGTGGCACACAGGTTTAGGCTAATAGCCAAAATAAACTATCATCACCCACAACAAAAGAGAATCTTGGCATAAATGTAACTTTCTAAAATATTTTTGTCTCTTCTTTAAAACAATTTGGTAAATATATCTTTATAACATAAATTGGAGCATGATTATTAACTCTGAAAACATTAACAATTCTTTTACTTTGTCTTGTATTTATATATTGCTTTTTGTTTAAAAAAAGTTTGGGAGTTACCACTCATTTTCAGACTCATAGCGACCCCTCCTTGGGTTTCCAAGGCATTATATCTCTACGGAAGTAGACTGCCCAATCTTCCTTCTGAGGAGTGACTGGTAGGTTTGAAACGCCAGCCTTCTAGTTAGCAGTCAGATGCCTTAGGCACTACGCCACCAGAACTCCTTCTGTAGAATGAGGTGGGTAGGTACTGCCTCTGCTTTCAGAATAAAGACATGTGGCTCATTGAGAGGAAACGACTAGCCTTCAGCTCGAAGTGGGAGAGCCAGCACTAGCGCTCCATTGCCGCTTTCGCTTTGCAGCATGAACTCCTATAGTGCATCAAACAGAGCATATACCTCTTTCTTCTTCAGATATGTCAATGATGTAAAGTGAAGAAAAACTCAGTGAATGCATGTTTTTATGTAGATCTAAATCTCTTCAAAGTTTACAAATAAGGAAGTTTCACAAAACACACTTCCTCTACTTCACATCAGAATGTCTACTAGGTCCCTGCCCTCTCCAACTTGCAGTTTAATGTTTAGAAGCTTTTCTTAAAGGTCTGACTGCTTAAAATGTGCCATTTTTCATAAGTTTAAGTTATAAAGCATGTAAGAAAGTTATAAAGCATGTAAGAAAAATTTTTATAAAAAGTTACTTGATGGTTAGGTTACATCTAAGAAAGTCATAGTAGTATATAACTTATTTCTCATTTTGACACTTGGATAATTCACATTAGCTTTTCATTTATGAAAATTTAAGGGCACTGAAGAGAACACAGAGAATTCAAACTTCACACGTAAGCTTAATATACACAAAGGAAAGGCTAAGCCTTTAAGTTTTTAAATATTTCCGAAACAGAATATTTTCAGCTAGTTAAAAAAAAAATGTTGATGTTGTCAAATTCCTTCATTCTTTTTCTCTGCTAGTATGAACAAGAATACCTTGATTTACCAGGGCTTCGGGCCAGTTCATTACAGTTCAGGTTCAACCCCTTTGCTTAGAATTTACAGTTCCACCCTAGATATACTGAATCACAATCTAATTTTAACAATATCCTCAGATGATTCTACATAATAATCACCTGGGGGTCTTGTTAAAATGTTGATTAGGATTCAGTATATCTGGGATAGAAATGCAAATTCTCAACAGGGGGGCTGAACCAAACAGAACAGAACCTGTCTGAAGAACTGTGATTTACATTGATATTGCCTGAAAAAAGATCTTAAAATTTAGAAGCCTGAATTTTATACTGTAATAAGTTCTAATTTAAGAGATATTTTTAGAAATGAAAAAGTAATTAAGCAGCAGGATGAATCAGGCTGCAGTTCCAATTAGTATGCTGTTAACATTTTCTGAGCACCATGTTCTGGGAGGAAGGTAGTGGTTGATACAAGAGGGAAGACAGCTGGTACATACACACACACACACACACACACACATCCCCTTTGCTTTGAGACAAGGTGGGGTGGATAGACAGCTGAACTGATGGATAACAGGATGAGGATAACTGATAACCCTACCAAGTTCTGGCAAGCACAACAATGTATTTTGAAAAACACTGGGAAGCAGTAAATTTGATGATCTCTAGAGATTCCGAGGTCTCAACATTTTAGCATGTTTCAAAAGATGAATTGCTTTTTATGTCTATCCCTTATATTATATAACCAGAAGAACAACAACAAAATGAGAAAAGAACAGCTATAACTACCTTTTTGCTTGGGAAAGGAGAGATTATGCTCCTTAAATCCTTTTGGAAGTAGGAGAGGAGCATAAATAGATAAATGCACATGACTGATCAAATTTCATAATTAATTTCTCATCTCTTAATTTTAAAAATAGCTAGAGACTTATTTGTTTCTCAGTCTGATAATATTTTGTAAACCTAAAACTTAAGCACAAGACTTTTGGTGTAACTCTTTGACATGACATTCAAATAACTTGTTCTGGTCAAAGAATAATAGACAATCCAGCTACACCAGCAAGTGACTTTTCTTCTCAAATCTCTTTGGATGTCTCTGGGCATGAGTGAAAGGTACGACAAAAAAAGGAATATCATATCATCTGTGTCAATTTTCTTATTAGGTTAGTGTCACTGCACTTACCACCATCACCATTAGTCAGTGATTAGTACATTTCCTTTGGCTATATTGAATAGGAGGAACTCTGGTAGCCTAGTGTCTAAGGCACTTGACTGCTAACCAGAAGGCTGTTGGTTCAAACCCACCGGCCACTCCTTGGAAGGAAGATGGGGCAATCTACTTCCATAGTGATACTGCCTTGGAAACCCAAGGAGGGGTCGCTATGAGTTGGGTCATATTTGACGGCACATAACAACAACAACATATTGAATAGGGTCCATCATTAACTATAAAGTCAGAAAACTTGGTTCACTGTTTCTTTCTTTAGCATTTTGTCTTTTTAAAAGCATTTATTTGTTTCCCAGTTGATTCAAGAATGTAAGTGCAAATATCCTTTAGTAAGTATGTGAACACTAAAAGACATTATACATAAATCTGCCCCCTCCCCCTTTTCCTGATTTCTCAAACAAAAATATTTTGTGTTTGGTTAATCAATTAGATTTGTCTCATTCATTGCACTTATTGCCCAAGAAGGATCAGAAACAAAGAGCTCCCGAGAGATGTGAGGTCCTGACAATTCTTAAGGGATAGAGGAAGCATCGATTGCTGTGAGGGTCCATATTGTAAACACACCACCGATCATAGTATGTTCAAAAGTATATGCACATTCTCAGTGCCAGAACTAAATTCTTTTCTGATAGGTTCTCCCTGACTCTTGATATCCCCTTCAATTACAATTAACTGTGAAGTAAGAGTTTTAAATTGATACATACGTTTCTGTGGCAGGATCATAAACTTCACAGGAATTCAGCACTCTCCCAGAAACATTGTTCCCTAAACTTCCACCACAAACATAGATAAGGCCATTGGCTTCCACCATCCCGTGGCTGCAGCGCTGAGTCAGCATGCTGGGCTTGGTGTGCCAGCTCTCAGTTCTTGTATCATAGCACTCAAATAAATACAGAGCAGAGTTTCCTGTAAAAGAAAAGGGGCTCATTTTGCTTAACTTTCTTTGTGTGTGTGTGTGTGTCTGTGAGGGTGGGGGGTGGTTTGGAGCCAACTAACTATGGAGCTGAGTCATCAGTTTTGAAAGGGAAAGATAAAGGCTTGTATAATCAGTTTTATACTCAATGAACAATAGCAAAAGAGTAAGAACAATTTTGTACTTTTTACTTACAAAGAAAAAGCTAACCTCATTTGTATAAAACCAAAAACCCCACTGCCATGGAGTTGACTCAGACTCATAATGGCCCTGTAGGACACAATAGGACTGCCCCATCAGGCTTCCAAAGTAGTGTACATATTTAAGTGAAGCAGACTGCCTCATCTTTCTCCCACAGAGTGGTTGGTAGGTTCAAACCGCCAACCTTTTGTCAGCCAAATGCCTTAACTACTGTGCCACCAGAGGTTCTTCCCATCTGGATACCAAAAACCAAAACATTTACTGTCACTGAACTGATTCCAACTCATAGACCCCACTGGATTTCCAGGGCTGCAAATCTTTACAGAAGTAGACTGCCCCATTTTCCTTTCACGGAGCAGCGGGTGGGTGTGAACCACCTGCCTTCTGTTTAGCCAACAAATGGCTCATCCACTATGCCACCAGAGCTCTTTTTGCCATTTTATAGACACTGGAAAATATTCAAAGAAGGAACTATTGGAAAGACTTATTTATTGGTAATTAAACTTTAGAAGAAGAAATTGGTTTGATTTCAAAAGAAAAATAAGAAACATTGTAAGATGAAGAAATTGAAGATTTTTTTAACCAACTACTGCAATCTGAAATTGATCAAATAAGAATCAAAATGCACTGATAATTACTGGTGATTGGAATGACAAAGTCAGAAAAGAAGGATTGGTAGTGGAAAATGAAGCCTTGGTGACAGAGACAGAGATCACATGACAGAATTTTGCAAGACCAATCACTTATTCATGGCAAATTACTTGAAAAGATGAAAGCATATAAAAGCTATTCTTTGTCTAGTCTGCACATAGAATAATCATTTAGAAAAAAATTGCCATGGCACACTTAACAAATTATCCATCAACAAGAAAGGTTTTTACATCCACACCCAGTTCTGATCACCGAGTATAAAGTGGCACTGCCAGTCATTAAACTAAAAAGTTTAATAAAGCAAATGAAAAGGATAATTTTCATTTTTTTCTGATACAAAGAAAGGTAGATAAGACAGAATTTAAAAGGTTGAATGTAGTAAAGAGTTCTTAAAGGGTCTATGAGTAAGTCAAACTGAAGTCTTTAAAGCAAGTAAAACCTGAGAAAGCCAGAACCTGTGTAAGGTGGAAACCTGTTAAAGAAGGAAAACACAAATATTTTCTACTAAAACGAGCAAAGTGGTAAGACTGCACTCTGTTAAAAGTGGAGAACTTGCAATACCCAGAAAAGCAAGGCAGTCCCGTCAAGTTCTGGCTCTCAGTTTTCACTATATTATGTATCCTAAACCACCAATCTAAAACTAAAATTCAGATGGTGTCAAATAATGTTTTATCATCACAAAAACAGAAAATTAACATTATCAAGGAAGTTGAAATTCTAATAAATTACCAATTTATAAAGGCATCTGTTTAAGCCTTCGGGGAAATGATCTCTAAAATGTAACAGGTATGCATTTGAATTATGTCAAAAAGTATCTGGACAAATATCAATAGTCTTCAAAATAAGTGCCCAGCTACTTGGCTTTAAAACCCTTCCCCCAAACAAAAATATTTAAGAAGTCCTTACCCACTTCTGAACCTCCAGATGTATAGATTTTGCCTTCTGCAGCACAGGCAGCAAGGCTATCTCGAGGTGTTGGAGGGCCCAGCTTGGAATACCAGCTATCCTTCACTACATTATAGCAGTCCATTCGTTTTATGGGGAAAAGCTGAGAGCCACCCAAAATGTATACTACGTTGTCCCAGAACACACACGCTGCATCTCTTCGTTTTTCAAAGGGGCAGCGGATGTCTGTCCAGCTATAATCCTGTAACAGGAAAGGATTGGAAGCTTTCAGTAAGGGGAAAATATAATTGGAAAAGCAAAGCAAAGATATAGTCAAGAAAATACAAAATACAAGAATGTGGTAATTTACTAGAATACTCATAAAAATGTTGGCTTGAGACTATTATCTAACTTATATTGTGTATTCTTCAGAATGTTGGTTAATTGGGACAGAGGGCATGAGGGAGAAATGTAACTGCTTTGGGTCCTATCTGGCTTTAAAATGAACTTAAATACACTTGACTACATGACCACTAGACTTACTTTTATTCATTCTGTTATTGAGAAAAATAATACAAGAAACTTTTTTTTTTAAAAAAGCTTCTTTTTCTTATATAAATATCCACATTCCACATCCCCTCCCTGCCAAATGCATAAGATGATATAGGAATACCTGAGTAATATGGAAGGAAGATGGGGCAATCTACTTCTGTAAAGATTTACAGCCTCAGAAACCCAGTGGGGGTTGAGTCAGAATTGACTCAATGGCAGTGGCTTTGGCTTTTTTTATGAAGTTCAAGCTGCCATTATCTTACTGATGTCTGAAGAGGAAAGTCTGAAGGCGTAAGAATGCTTACTTACACCGGGACTTCTGTGAGGTATTAATTTTCTGTAATATTCAGTTGAGCCATCTATTACGAGTGGATACTCACTTTAGGCTCATTCTTTTACAATAAGCTATTCACAGTACCACTGTTTCCTCATTGTTTGATGACATTGAGGACATCTGTAACCCTTCTTCCAGGTGTGTGCATACAGGGGGACTACTCCCAAAGTTACAGCATCTTGGACTGTCCTCTTTTTTAAGAACAAAGCTATAGCGTTTCTGCTGCTTTCTAAATATTGCTGAAAATAAGATGCAGACAGGAATCCAAATAATTCCCAATTTTACTGAGTAAAGCAGTGTGTGTGATTATTGCTTTCCCTTTGGGAAAATCTGATACCTCTGACCCTAGTATTAGACACACATCCAGTTAGATCAAACAATCACAGAACATTAAGGAATGATCTCTTAGGAAAAGCTGTCTTTCTTTTCATCTACCCTAATGAATTCCTCAACATAGAATATCTGCACTCCTGAGGATTACGAACACCCTGCTTTCAAGGTGACCGGGAAAACAGCTCTAATCTCTTAGGTCTTCATTTCTCAGACTAGGACCTGGGTGTCCTCCTGGGTTACTCAGTGGCATGCCTACAGGTTGATGTTTTGTTATGTGCCATCGAGTTGGACCCGACTCATAGCAACCCTTGGGTTTCTGAGGCAGTATCACTATGGAAGTAGATTGCCCAACCTTCCTTCTGAGGAGTGGCCGGTGGGTTTGAACCACCAGCCTTCTAGTTAGTAGTCAAGTGCCTCAGGCACACAAAACTATAGGAAAAACTTGACATCTTCCTGAGGCTTCAATTTTACATAATGTACGTTTAAAATCGGAGAAAATATTTTTACTTGCTTTCTTAGAACTCATAATTCTTCCCTAATCAATTTCATTCCCAGAGAAACAATTTCATTAATAAGGCACATCATTAACCTAGTGAACGAGAAGTCTTGCCACTCTTACATCCAATTTATTTATTTATTATTAGAGAGCAATATGGAAGTGTCTCCATAATTTCTAAAGTTATCCTTGAGAAAATTATCTTTCTAAGCTCTTCCTTTATTAATTTTAGGATAAGAGAGTTGGTCATATATTCTTAAATGATCTCTGAGGCCTGTTACTCTTCAAGTTAAAAATAAACATCCATGTCGGAGCTGGAATTAAAAAAAAATAATAACACTTTTTCTTTCAGCCAACATTAGGGCATGAGTTTCCAAAAAATGCAATTAATTTAAAAGAGTTTAGGAACAGAAATACTTCTCATAATACTCAGGGGTTAGGGTAGAGAATAGGTGCTCTGGTGGCACAGCGCTTAAGGCATTTGACTGCTAACCAGAAGGGTGGTGGTTCAAACCCACCAGCCACTCCTCGGAAGGAAGACTGGACAATCTACTTCTGTAGAGATACTGCCTTGGAAACCCAAGGAGGGCTCACTATGAGTGGGAAACAACTTGTTGGCAGTGAGGTTTTTTTTTTTTTAACGTACCTGTAATATAGGGCTTAGTTATACTTCAGATTTAAGAATTAAATTGCTGTATTAGAAATGTAGGAGCTCTGGTAGCGTAGTGCCTAAGGCTAACCAGAAGTCTGGCAGTTCAAACCCACCAGCCACTCCTCGGAAGGAAGGTTGGGCAATCTACTTCTGTAGAGATACTGCCTTGGAAACCCAAGGAGGGCTCACTATGAGTGGGAAACAACTTGTTGGCAGTGAGGTTTTTTTTTTTTTAACGTACCTGTAATATAGGGCTTAGTTATACTTCAGATTTAAGAATTAAATTGCTGTATTAGAAATGTAGGAGCTCTGGTAGCGTAGTGCCTAAGGCTAACCAGAAGTCTGGCAGTTCAAACCCACCAGCCACTCCTCGGAAGGAAGGTTGGGCAATCTACTTCCATAGTGATACTGCCTCGGAAACCCAAGGAGGGGTCGCTATGAGTCGGGTCTGACTCGACAGCACGTAACAACAACAACAACATTAGAAATGTAAGTCTAAAAGAAAAAATGATTAGCCTGGATGTGTGTGATGTAATAGAAAGTAATAGGCAAATGTTTCTATTTGAAATTACTAGAAAACTTCAAGTTTTTTTCATCTTTTTCAACTCTCCAAATACTGTCCATAGTTATTGTACTAAGCTTGACAACTACCAATTATAGCATTCTGTCTAATCTTGAGACAGAGAAGTGAAATGTTCTAAGAATTCCTACCTAGGATGCAAAATAGACTTCATTTCAGCTAAAATTTAATGTTTTACATTTGGATTCACTTGAATACACCAGTGTTTATACATATCTGGCATTGTCGTGTGTGTGTGTAAGTCAGGGTAGGTGGGAAGAGGGAGATGATTATTTTTTTCTTGCTTCAGAGGTCCACTTAATTCCTCTGATCTACCCCTTACCCAAAGTAGAGTACTGAAAAGGTGATTTGATGTTTGCCTTTTGACAACTGGTATATAGCCTAGGAGGTCATATGTGCACTCCAAAAAGCAAGGAGAGAAGAGGGGGAAAAAAAAAGATGGGAAGTCAGGTCTGTCAGCTCAATGGGTGAGTGTCAGGGTCTTACCCTAGGGATGGGACCACTTCCAACCTGAGGCTTCGGTGGAGGGAAGGTGACTCCTAGGCTTTAGTGCAAGCTGGAAGAACACACAGTTTTTATGTTGGCAACAAGATGGAAGAACAGCACTAGAGTTTTAGACAGGGTAGTACATATGTATGGGAAGAGGCCAGAGAATTGTTAACCTAAAAACAGAATTTAATTCAGTTAAGTTTTATTGAGTATTTCATACAAGATTCTGTGCTTAGGTGATGAGAAGACATGAAAGGGAAATGGGAAAGCCTGGAAAAGAAACGCGTAGAAACTTCTGATACTTTAAATTTCAACACATCACCACAAACATAATCAGCCACAGGCACATGCAGACACATCCATACGTAAAGTCAAGTCTTCCCTGGCCCTTGTCAGGCTTTCTTGCCTCTGTTGTGGTATTCCATACTAGACACTCTATAGTTTTTCCAAAACTTCAGACCCTTGACTTTTTGTAGGCTTCCCTGATTTTTTTTCTGAATTTTGTCTGCATTGAAGTCCAGACTTAAAGAGTGAACATTCTATTTTTTTTATCTTGCTCTATGTGGTTTTAAAGGAGCTCTGGTAGCGTGGTGCTTAAGGCACTTGACTGCTAACCAGAAGGCTGGTGGTTCAAATCTACCAGCCGCTCCTCGGAAGATGGGGCAATCTACTTCCGTAGTGATACTGCCTCGGAAACCCAAGGAGGGGTCGCTATGAGTTGGGTCCGATTCAACGGCACATAACAACATGTGGTTTTAATAGCTCCTATTGCTCCCAAGAGAATACAAGCTTCTTGAGGTAAGGGGCTGTAATATTTCTCAAGGTAAAAACATCCTGGTATTTTCCTTGAGAGTAAAGACTGACTATATAATCTGTAGTTTGAATATCCATGGATCCTCAAGAATACAAAATTAAATTTTTAATAATCAAGAAAACCAAAATACTTTTTATTTGTAGCACTTAAGAACTTTATTTCATTTTGAGAGGAAACCAGGCCAAACTAGAAAGCAGTCTTAGAAAAAAGGGAAAGCAAAATCAATACAATGAAAAAATCTTACAGAAACCACCAGGAGGCAATTCCAAACTGAATTTAAGATGATCAAATTATAAGTACTTTCTTTGAAGCCATTATCTGATTTATTTTAGTTTCTAAGGCTGTTAAAAAAAGAAAATCACAGAACTACAGTGACAACCCATATAGGAAGCAAGTTATGTCAGAGGGCAGCACATTTCTAGAAGCAGTTTCATGAAAAATACATAGAAACACTTTTGGCTTCACTGATTTCACAAAGTCAAAAAGAATGTAGCTCAAAGAAGCCAAAAAACTTGGGCACCAAGCTAGGCTCTTCATTGAGGAGCTATAGGTCTAAAGTTAGTCATTCAACTTTTCAGGTACTTCAGTTTCTTAATCTGTAAAACAAAGACTGAACTAAATGATCTAAGATTCCCTACCACCTCCATGTGGCTTTCAGCCCTCAAGTCCAATGATTTTAGGGTCCAGATGATTTAGAAATTATCACTAGACAAATGGCTATTATTAACTTCTTAGTTACTGAGCACTTCAGGCACTCTGCTGAAATAATGTAAAACACTTAATTTCTGTAACAATACAGGAGGTAACATTCTCATTTGACCAAAAGAAAACTAAAACTTAGAGATGTGAAGTACTTTATCAGCGGTTACATAATTTCAAAGTGGTAAATTCACTCCAAAGCTGTGCTATTACTGCCTGTTTTTCTAAAAATCTTATAAGAACTATTTTAAAGAACCTTGGACTGAGGGTAGAGCACTCTAGGTTCCTCTGTTCTGTTGTGTTTCCAGCTCAG